TTATTTTGTATTGCTTTTAGGGCATAACAGTAGCAAAAAGAAGGAAGGAAGGCAGGAAGGCAGGGAGGGAGGGAGGGAGGGAAGGAGGGAGAGAGGGATGGGCGGAAGGACGGAGAGAGGGAAAGAAAAAAAAGAAGGAAGGAAAGAAGGAGAGAAAGAAAGAGAGGGGGGAGGGAGAGAGGGAAGGCTACAACCAGTGTCTCATACCTGTAATCCTAGATACTCAGGAGCCTGAGACCTGAGGATCGAAGTTCAAAGCCAGCCTGGACAGGAAAGTCCATGAGACTCATCTCTAATTAATCACAGAAAAAGTCAGAAGTGACACTGTGGCTCAAGTGGTAGAGTACTTGCTTTGAGTAAAAGGAGCTCAAGGACAGCGCCCAGGCCTCAAGTTCAAGCCCCAGGGCCAGCAAAGAGAGTATATTGGAAATGAACTTTAAAACTTTGAGGGTTGAGAAGCTGGGGGGAGAGAGGGAAAGCTGGAGAAACCAAGGGAGGGGTAACAATGTTCAACAAGAATTGTACTCATTTCCTTACTTATGTAACTATAACCCCTCCATACATCACCTCTACAATAAAAAAAAAAAAATCTGAGTTCAAATTAATTTCCTTGCCTAAAAAACCATTAAGTATTGGAGCCAAGAACCAAAGCAAATGATGGGGGGTGGGCTGTGCAGATTGAGCAGCCCCAAGAATTGACTCTAAAAGAAAAATATCATTCTCCTTCCTCTACCCCAAAGAAGTCTCAAGAGTTTTCTGTGAAATGTCATAGTATGATGACACCATCAATAAAATCAGTTCCCTCTGTCTTGAGTTGTTCCAATGTGTTACAAACAAAACAAGGTTTCCCCACCACCCTGCGATCACTAATGAGAAAGGAATCTGGACAAGATGTTGACTTGGTTACTCAGAATATCATTACGACTGTTACATAAAAGGATTCCGATTTTACACATGAAACTGTAATTCTAATAATAAAAATATACTTAATGACTCAGAGGACTACATTTGAGATTCACAGTGAAGAGAGGGAAGCATGCAGACCATGCCAATAACTTAACAAGCCAGAAGAAAGGAGCAAAAGACATTTTTTTTTAATAAAAGGATCTTTGAGGAAGACATGAAAGTAATAAAACTGGTCATCAGCCAAGTCTCAGAGAGAATAAAGTCTATAGCTCAACCAGTGTCCCTGTGCATGCTATTTTCTTTATATATTTGTGCCTGTCTCTTAGCGTTTTATTTTGTTGTTGCTGTTTAGGTTTTGTTTTGTGGGCCATTTTCTTGGTGCCAGTACTAGGGACTGAATTCAGGGCCTCAAGGCAAGAGCTTAGCTGAGCTGAGCTTTTTCACTCCAAGCTGGTGAAGGCACAGCTCCACTTCTGGCTTTTTGCTGGTTAATTGGAGTTCAGAGTCTCATAGACTTTCCTGTCAGGGCTGGCTTCAGATTATGACCCTCACATCTCAGCCTCCTAAGTAGCAAGGATTACAAATACAAGAAACCAGTGTCCAGATCTGGTAGTATTCTTCCACAGAAAAGACCTATTCTTTGTCAGAAACAGAAAGAATTTCACAACTCAACCAACCCCTTCATTCAACCGATGAGAAACTGAGGCCCAGATCAGTTATTTAACTGACTAATAATCAAACTGCAGATTACCACAGAGACCCAAACTGCCGTGCAGTGCCACTCTGTGTTCAATTTTCTCCTACCCGAACTATGCCTTCAAGTGTCTTCAATGCATTTCAAATGTAGCCTAGCATGTCAGTGTGAAATGAAAGATTAGGACCCGTGGTCTCTGTTAGCAATCTCTCCATAATTGTAAAGGAGCAGCATGAGGCTGCTATTTCTGCCCATCAAGACAGGTTGGAGACTCGGCAGAAAGCAGAAGAGTGCAAGTTTTTGAAGCAGATGGCCAGTTACTAGCCCCTGTTGCTCAACCACTAACCTCTTCATCTGAATTGTTTCATCCAATAGCTCAGAGAACCTCCTGCCAAGCATCCCTAGAGAAGTTGGTCCTGAGGAACTGGGAAATTTAAAACTGGATAATGAGGTCACAGAAAACAGAAGAAGAATGTCATAAGGTGAGTACGGGAGGAAAACTTTGAGGGAATATGTTCTAAGTAGATGAGAGAGGAACCCTCAGAAATAACCACCTACTTAGTCTGGCACTGGTGGATCACGCCTGTAATCCTAGCTACTCAGAAGGCTGAGATCTGAGGATCGTAGTTTGAAGCCAATCCAGGCAGGAAAGTCTATGAGACCTTTATCTCTAATTAACTCCAAAACACCAGGTGAAGAGGTGTGGTAGAACAATACCCTTGAGAGAGAAAAAAAAAAAAAACCTCAAGGTCAGTGCCCAGGCCCTGAGTTCAAGACCCAGAATTGACACAGACAAACAAGAACAAAACAAAACAACAACACCTACTTAATAATTCTGTCTGGGGTTGTTAGCTTCATTCGGCAGCCCCAGCTTCCCACAAAATTCCTTCCTACCTACAGAAAGATCTTCAAACTCTGACAAGATGTTGGCTGTATTCTGGAACCCTCCATGCAAGCAACCTGCATGCCTTTCAGGCTCTCTCCACAATTTCAGAGATTTTGCTGCAACCTAATCCTGAGACAAGACTAAATTTGCCTCTGCACTCTACAAAATTACACCAAACTGTCAAGGGGGAAAAGAAAGGGCCCAAATCCTTTTATTTCCTTTTCATTCCCTGCTAGGAAACTGCAGAGAAAGCCCCTGGGTGCTGTTTGTTGCCTGGTAGCTGAAATAGGCAACTTTTGGAAGTATTCAGGCAGAACCAAGAGGCCTGGACTCAATGCCCCAGCAGCCCAATTCCACAGCCCTGGCCTTCCCAAGTCACCAGGTTTCAAGTTCCAAGAAAATCAGAATGCCTCGCTCAGAAATAGGGCAACCCACCACTTTTAAACATTTCCAGAAAGGCTGGGGGAGAGAAGCAAAGAAAGAAAATAATTTTCTTCTTGCTGTATTTGCAGCAGGCTTTGATGACAGGGAGGGGAGAAAGGGAATGCTCCTGAGAACCATGTACAACCACCCACAAAAACTGTCTGTGAATGACTGCCTGTAATACCTATTCCCTTATCCACCTCGTGCATATTTTATACCAGTCCTGGGGCTGTAACGAGGGGCCTAGGCATTGTCCCTGAGCTTTTCTGCTCAAGGTTGGTGTCCTACTATTGACCCACAGTTCCACTTCAGCTTTTGGCTGGTTAATTGGAGATAAGAGTCCCATGGACTTTTCTGCCCTGGCTGGCTTTGAACCATGAGCCTCAGATCTCAGCCTTCTCAGTAGCAAGGATTATAAGCATGAGCCACCAGCACCCAGTTTCCCTCATTAATCTTTATGAATCCTGAGCGTAGATGACATGCTGAGATAAAGTCCCTTCCCACCCAACCAAACATGCATGGCCTGTGCAAAATACTCCTGCAGAAAGTAGAAAATAACCCAGCATGTGCAGGTAGGAAAAGAATTTATTATACAGTACGTTCAACTATTCTCATGCTATGCATATAGGTATAGCAAGCAAGCCAAATTAAAGGAGATCTGAATCAATACATCCAGATTTCAGACTGCCCCGGATTATTTATTATTGATCCTGCAGTTGGATCGCTGTTTACCTTGCACTGAAAAACAACTTACAAACCACCACCACCACCACAGCCACCATCTTTACTTTCTATAGGGGTTGGGGGGTAGTGAGAAAGAGCTGAGAAGAAAAAAAATAAATAAATAACAGGGTCCCCCCCAATCTGTTTTCGCCTGTCCTAGACAAGTCTTTGTCTGGTGGCTGAACACGTTTGCGAGCTGCCTTAAAAGAATCAAAACAAAACAGAAGAGTCAAGTCCCCAGCTTAATTACAATAGGCGCCGGGCACAGACTGGAGCGCCAAGCCAAGCATGAGTTGAATCTTGGGGTTCAAGCATCTGTTTTCTTCGTTTCCCCGCTCCACCACCTCCTCTTCCCCGACACACTCCCCCAGTAAAACACGTCTCAGGCACCTTCTCTGCATTTATGTCTCCCAGGGTTCCCCCAAATCGGTCCCTTCTGTGTCACTCCTTATAAAAGAAGGACAAGAGGCACCGAGCACATTGGAACATCTGTGCACTGGGGGGGGGGGCTGGCTATTATCCTATAATGCTAAATACGGGGAGGGGGTACACCCCGCCACCCCACACGCCCACTTGGCTAGTCCATTATGCAAAAGCAGCAGCAGCGCTTGGCAGCGGAACGGGAAGCGCGTGCAGGAAGCGTTATTTACGTGCCCATTACAGCACCCTATACACGGCATCTGCATCCTACACAAAGCCGGAGATGGTGCAAGCCAGATCCACGCTGAGCATGGCACAGACTAGCCGCGGACACACGGAGCCCGGCCCTCGTCCAATCAGATCCTGGGCAGAAGGTGGACCTCGGGTCGGCTCTGCCCGCTTTGCCTGCCCTATGATGACACCAAGCTCTGCCCAACATCCATATTCCACCACCACCACCCCGCATCATCAGCGCCAGCAAATCGGATTCGGGTGCCTGCGCGGTGCTCAGACTGCCCGAGCCCTTTTCTGAGCTCTGCATCCCGGCTTACTCGCTCTCTACAAAGACACCCCAAATCCTGGGTCACCCCCCCCCGCCCCAGCCACCTACCTACCCACCCACGTTCCGCCTTGGGTTTTCTTTCCTTCCCACCCGCCCCCTTTCTCCTCTCATTCCTAGAAAGGATTCAACGTTGCTCCCTCCAACGTGCGGGCTAGGCAGGAAAGGCAGAAGGCAAAATAAACGCCGTCCCCCGCCCCCCATCGCCCGCTCCCCGCGCGCACCCCCCAGAGTCCGGGCTCCCGCAAGCGCCCCGCGAGGAGGCGGGGAGGGGGGGCCGGGGGGGTTCAGTGGGCTTCGCGAAAAGTAAAAGCGGGCGAGCAGCGTGAGGAACATCGTGTCCAGGGGATCGACCACAATCGCTGCCGCCCCGGAGTGCTCCAACTTACCCAAAAGATGACATTGAAGCCGAAGATGAAGTATTTGATGCAACAACTGACTTCAGGACCCTTGTAGTGCTTCCCGGACATCCTCTGGGTTCATGAAGACACGCTCGCCCCGGCAGCCCGAGTTTGGAGCCCCCCGGAGCAC